ATCAAATGCAGGACTAATTGGAATCATTTTGAAATATAACACAAAGAACAATAACATCATGTTAGAAATCAATCATGTGAACTAGCATAGTGCACAGATACAATTAGGCCTTTACATACTACGAAACAAAAAGGAGTTACGATAGGGCACCAAACTGTTACCTTGCCTGCTGGTATTGTTTATGTTAACATTTGCACAAGCGTATCACATGAGAGACTCAGATGGCCCTGTCAAAAAAAAGAGGAAAAAAAAACACTCAATACTGTGAAGTAGTTAGGCTAGCATGAAAAGTTTCAGTTGCCATGTCAATGTCATTCATCTTAACCAAAAGAAATTTGAAACCAAACTAAAGGTACCAGTCCAAAGCTTATTCCTACTGCAAAAAGGACTAGCAGTAGGCATAAATAAGTTCGGACGGAGGCAACTAAAAACAATAGAGTAATTGTTAATGCAACTAAGCTGATGGTCTCCACGCAGCAAAGGATCCATATTTTTGTTGTCTCTCAGCTAACTAACAATATTCGCACATTCCGAATGAACTCTAAATAGAAGCAAAACTTTCAGGTACTCCTTTCTAGAGACTAGCCTGATAATAATCAAAATAAAAGCATGAATCAGCTAATGACAAGTAGAAGAAGATTTCTATCACTTACCCCCTTAAAAACTTCAAGTTTTTCTCCGCCGTCGATGCTCAATCTATAAACTAAAGTTAGAAGAATGGCTTGATAATAGTCAAAACACCAGCTTTTTCATCGTCTTACAAACCCTAAGCGTCAACGACCACAACCCAACCTCCCAATCAACGAATTAGACCCAAAATAACAAACCCCGCCCCCCCAAAACCAGGAAACCCCCCAAAAAAAACCCTAACCCTAAAAAGCTTCCAATTTCGGCAACAAACCAACAAAAGCAGCGGCGTACAAGATGAAAACAGCAACGAACTGCCGCAGCGAGAGAGCTAGACTAGAGAAACTAGAGAGAGAGAAACTCACAGCGATCGTTGGCGAGGGCTAGAGACTGGGGAGCGGAGGCGAGGTTGAGAGGGGCGACAGCATCGGAGATGGAGACGGATCGAGAGAGAGAAGGCAGCTGGCTCTGCGTTTGCTTTATAATGAGGCAGGGGCTGCCGCAGGCAAAAAATAAAGAGGGGAGAAGGTAAAGTGAACGCTGGTGGATCCGCTGTGGTGACGGGTGGAGAATAAAACGTACAAAGAGGTTGAATTTTGTACACCTGGAATTGAGATTAACACATGATACTTGGAGAAGAATGAGCGCTAAATATCAAGAAGAGGAAAAAAACCAATAACTTTGGACAATTACCTGGTTAACCTTCGTACTTTTTAAAATATCAAAAAATCACCGTAACTTTAGGGGTTATCAGAAAACTCTTTAAGAATTTTACCGATAAAAATATAATCCCGCTTAATATTTATCCACCCATGCGAAAATTGTGATTAACGCTAGTTAGAGGGGGTTTCAGATGAAATTTTGAAGTTGACTAGGGTTTTCTAATAACCTTTAAATTTAAGATAGTTCTACGATATTTTGAAAGTCAGGGGAATTATCTGATAATCATCAAAAGTTAAGAGGAGTTTGATGATACTTAGCTAAAAATAATTGCCCATGGTTTTGAATCATGATGGTTGTTTTCGAATAAGATGCCAAAATTCGTTAACGGTAGGTGCATGATTTAAGATGACATTTCCCTTAGGCCTATTAAGTTAGTAGGGTAAATCAAGATATATGGTGAATATGGAAAAGTTTATAGTAATTTCCTATTATGATAAAAAGTATAAATTCGTCAATGTTAGGCTATAGCACGCATCATTATCTTCGCATATCTTATGTCTATTCAGAAGTTACCAAATATAGTAAATACATAAAATTAAAACAACTTAAAACTAAAAAAATATCCACATCCGTAAATAAATGTATACAATTATAAGTTTAGGAGGTTATCTCGCCGATATTGAGAGGGAATCGATTGGTATGGTTTGATCAATACGAACAGATGTTGCTAAATACCTCAATTACAAAAAAGTAATATTATTTATATTTAACAAAAAAGGACCGTAATAAGAGAAACCGAAAAATCTTGAGAATTGAATGGAAAAACAAGATTCAAATGTCCAACAACCTAAGATTTTGTAAGGATTAAGCTTTCCCTCGTCAAAAAGCGTGAAAGTATCCACTTGAACATGAACCTAGCACTAGCAACATATCTAAGGACTAAGGCCTTTGCCAAACTCAGCAAGACGACAAAGTTAGATATCGGACCCGGACCCGGTACGAACGGGTCGGGTCAAACGGATCTGTGTCGGGTTAGCCGTGATGGAGACCAGATGCACGAGCAACAGTTGAGCACATCGCCTTTCGGCAAAGCCATCAATCAAAGGTAAAATCATTGGAGGCCGCTTACTTGCATTATCGGATGCACATCCACGACCCTCATTTTTACGTGGTCCCGAAATTTGATCCGAAATGATGAATGGATGTTGGGTAAGCTCTTTTTAGCGTGAAAAGGATACTAAGATGGTTAAATATATAGCTAAGTAGCTAGCTTTGGGGAAAAAAAATGGGCGGTTTGGGACCATTTTGCTTGCGTTCTCATAATAAGGGAACAATCATTTCGGTTAAGGCTCTGTTTGGTTGTTTGTCGAAAAAAATCGGAAATGGAAACATCGTTTTCAAATGATTTCAATAGCTTTTATGATATTTTCCAATTATTTTTTTGTTTGTTTCGCACAGAAACCACCCCATTTCACCGCCAAGTCACACAAAAAACAAAAAAGCCGCAAAAGTAACCGTGCTTTTAGTTTTCCATTTCTTGTGTTTGTTTGGGGAAAGAGAAATCAGCCGCAATAGTAACAATGTTTTCAGCATTTAAATAATCTGTTTTATTCACATCGAATGTTTCAACAGTGTTTTTAGTAATTAAAAATTCATAGAAGTGACATTTTCAAATGTTTTCAGAGGTTTTTTGTGTGAAAACATATTTTTTAAAAATCTGACGTGACATCATACGTGGCACTCTCATTTCTTTAAATCACAAAACAAAACAAACATATGATTTGAAAATCGGTTGAAACCAAAATCCTACGTGACAGGGGGGTTTCTTAAAATGTGACATGGCGGAGCGTTTTCTCATTTTTTTTTTTTGCCAAACAAACAGATGTATAGTGGCTCATATATACTCAGGTACGAAATAGTTGAAGTTACAAATACGTTTGCAACATGATGTGGTTTCAAAAGGGAAAAAAAAATAGGACATGGTTTCAAACTTTCAATTTCTGATTTTTGAACAAATGAAACTCTTTTTTTTTTTAAAGCAATTGATGCTTCAACAGTTCCGTCAAATTCAAACAAAACTACGTATTTGGAACCACATTATGCTCCATCTTTTCCTCTCTAAACACACCCTAAGGGCCTGTTTGGTAGTTTTCTATAATTATAAGGAAATATGTTACTGTGTAAAAGAACTACTTCCGGATATTTCCTTTTACTTTCATTAGAAAATATGTTTCTAGTGTTTGTTACACCAAAAAACATACCGTATGACTAATTTCCGTCACTTTCCTTAGCTTGATTCAAATTGAAAAAAAGAAGAAATCAATTAATGTATGAATATATTCTCTTATTGGGTTCATTTTTTTTATTCCAATAAAGTGATGTTTCTACCGATTTCGGAGACTGGAGAGGAAATCAAGTTAGTTTTGCAGCGCACCTTTCCTCTGCAATCCAAACATCAGAACAACTAAGGAAAGCCCCAATTTTGGGGGGTTTCCTTAGAGCATCTCCAACAGCTTCTCCATTTCCCACATTTGAAGAATATAGTTAGGTTTTTGGTCCAACAGATTCCCCATCTCATTCCCCAAAATAGGGATGGAGGTTAGGTTTTTGGTCCAACAGATTCCCCATCTCATTCCCCAAAATAGGGATGGAGGAGAAAAAATGGGGAAGCTTTCTCATTCCCCAAAATAGGGATGGAGGAGAAAAAATGGGGAAGCTTCCCCAAATCTGCAGCATTCTCCAATTTTTTGGAGGAAAAAATGGATTCTTCAAAATGGGGAAGCTGTTGGAGTTGGTGTAAAAATAATTTGAAGAATATGACTTTTGCTTTCCCATTTTGAAGAAAATTTTAGAGAAGCTGTTAGAGATGCCCTTAGGTGTCGGCTTTCATTTAGGGTTTTATTCAATTTTTCGACCAACCAAACAAACCCTGAAACGGTAGTTATAACAAAAGAAACAATATAACTGCAACAGGAGTGATTTTTGCAGACCAAATAAGCATCATGTCTCTCAGAAGAATTGTTAAGGGGGAAAAAAGAAGAATTAGACTCAGTAATGCCGCAAATAACAACCACATATCAGTAAAATAACGTGCACAAGCAACGCAATAGGGTACACTTTGTGACTCATATGAGTTCATCAGAGCAGTTAATGTGATGCAAACGCATGACATGAGTCAGACCAATAGATGAAGGTCAGATACTCACAATAGAGTTTACAAAGAAGAAAAAGCTCCACACAAAAAATGCCACCACCCAACAGAGAACAAAGCAAAGAAAAGTACCTGTTTGAAGCATAATTTACACCCAAGAAACTGAGACACCCAAGTAACATAAATCTCAACATATTTATTCAACTTATTTCTACTACCGAATACAACAACTGCATACGGTAATAAGTGAATTACTTCATAACAAATTATTCCCAATACTAATTACGTGGCTCGTGAATTCCCACAAAATGACAAGCTATAACTCTGAGAGAACAATGATATTAATCTCCCGAGGGGAAAAAGGAAAGAAAAAAAAACGAAAAGGTTGGACTAGCAAGTTACAAAATTGAAATAACGTGATGAATCGTAGTTTCTCATGATAAATAATAGTTAATTATTATAGTTCCTAGTATAAATCAAGACAAACATACGTAACGTTTGCCTTCGGCTGAGTGATTAATGCAGCGCAGCAAGAGGACTCCGGGAGTCTACACATTTTAACACTTCTTCACCCATCCTTTTACATCCAACCAGAGTCTGAACAAGGAAAACAGAGGGGAAAGTCCGTCATAAGATGACTGAAGTACCAACAATAGAATATAATAATAATTTAAAAGAAAGTAAAAAAAAAAGTAAACTTTATATTTTACTTGAGGGTCGTTAGTTATCAAACTTTCTTATAACAATGTAAATTAGTTTCCAAACAGTCATTAGCTTTCAAGACCCTTTTTGATGGTATCCGAAGCTGAAGAGAGCTTAGAATATAGAAGCTTAGCAAGTAAAAAAATAAACCCACTAACCGTTCCAGCAGAAAATAAATCTCCAGTTCGAAATCCTCGATTAAGTGTTTCAATGACGGCGTCTTCAATCCTCTTTGCAGCATTCTCCTCTCCAAGCCCATATCTCAAAAGCATAGCAGCACTCAGCACTGTCGCAAGAGGGTTTGCTTTGTCCTGTAAAAATAGCATTTTCTCAATTGTAATTTGATTTGAACCCATTTAATAACCTAGAGGAAAGAACTGTTATGCAAAAAATTCACCTGGCCAGCGATATCGGGAGCAGAGCCATGAATTGGCTCAAAAAGTCCAGGTCCCTAAACAAACGAACGAAACAACAGTACAAAATAGAAATAGTTTAGTTACTAATCACCATAAGGTCCTTTAGTATCAATTTAGGAGGATTTGGGATTAATTTCAAAGTTATCACATACAGATTCACCAACACTAGCAGATGGAAGCATTCCGATGCTTCCAGTGAGCATTGAAGCTTCGTCAGATAGTATGTCACCAAATATGTTGTTTGTCACAATTGTATCAAACTGCAAGCTTCAAAGTAAAGTTACAGGTAAGAATTGCTTGAAGGTTCAGATAGGAAAGGGAATTTTAGAAATCATATACTTCCTAAAAAGCAACTATGGTTGTGAGAGAACAGATAAAAACGGTCGCTTAGGTTCTGACCAACTTTATTCGGTTTCTACATTTGAGTGAATTTCGTGCATGATATTTTGAGCTCCTAGTACTAAAATAAGTCAATCTGATTTGGAAACTAAATCTTCATGTTTCAAATTAAGAGCTGATGGAGTCAAGATCTTGATAATTTCACATTTCGTTAAGATGATTGGATTCTTTGTTTGATAAATTTACCCATTTCTGTAAAGTTTATTAGACCAAAATGAATATAAAATTTGTCTACTGGAGTTCTATGGTAAGAAACAACCTGCTTGGGATGACGGATAAGCTGCATGGCTGCATTGTCCACATACATGTGAGAGAGCTCCACGTCAGGGAACTCAGTAGCTATTGCCATCACTCTTTTCCTCCATAGCATTGATGCCTTGCAAACATTCATAAAAATCATTATTGTTAGTGCAAACTTCAAGCGCAATTCAAGCATGATGATAGAAACTCATAGTGCTATTTAATTTCTCCTAATAAAGTTGATAATGTAATTAGAATATTGCCTCATTCAAACATTTGAATTATAAGCAGAACGGTTTAAAGAGAGTGATTGACTCATTATTTTAACTTTAAGCTCCCAATCAGAAACTTACTAAGGCAAACACAATTAGCATGAAGATATAAAATTCACCCAGAAAGCAGAGCGATTCATGTCAGTTGTGCCTCTAAACAATATCGATAGAAAGGAGCCATTTGATAAACCCCATTAGTCAACAGCATTAGACACGCTTATTGCAGAGAAATAAGGATGAGAATATGTTGGACAGAAATGTATTTGTAGTTGGATTGATGGCCAGAGACAACCCTAATCCAGAAATCCAAACAAGAAAATTACAAAGCAACATCCCACTCAACATTATCATCACAAGTAATGCTTTGTCTTATGGAGTTTCACCAAGGAGTTAACAGCTTATATAGGATTATACGTCAAATATCCAAACTTGGGACTACCAAATCCAACCCTAACCATCAAGCAATATTCCAATATTGGCATATGCCCAAGACTTTCATAATATTTAGGCAAGTGATTAAGTGTTTGTTTACAGTTTACAACCTAGCAAATGAGCACCAAGAAAATTCCAAGGGTCAATAAGAGCTAGAACGTAAAGAAACTTCCATGTTGAGGCTTGGAGGGGTAAAAAAGAAAAACTCAACTACCCAAACACCAGGTAGAGTTCTCAAGTTGGATTATCCAGAAAAGCAATTATGGGTTTCTATTTATCTTCGCAGGCAAAATAATCTCGGCTCTAACATAAAATTGAATAATAATTCTCACAAATAAAAATACCTCCAAAACATTAGCTTTGTCAACAGAACATAGTCTACTATGACGCTTGCGAGCAACCTCAAATGCAAGACGTGCAATCCTGTCAATCTAAGCAGACAAGAACCAATTAGTTAAAAAAAAAGATCTGTTAAAATAAGTCAATCTCATATATTCCACGCACAACAAAGAAGTGGAAAAAATAGAGCATGTATAGCTGTAATCATATCAAGCACTATATAATTGTCTTGCGTTTAAGGTAGCATTTTTTTATTTAAAAAAACAAATTTATTTCTTTATTTCATCTTCGGGCATAATATCATACAATCAGAAAAAGTGATATTTTGTGTTTTGCAAAGTTTTGGGGTCAATTTTCTCTCATCTTAAACAATGTTGGTTTTGTTTTTCATCCTAAAGGATGATGGCAATAATGATTCCATGTATGGAGCAATTGCTAGTCTCATCTACAAACTCTATTTTACTAGAAAATATAAAGTCAATACAAGCATAGGAAAAGAAGATATTATTATTAGAAACAAATGGTAAGTTGCAACATATAATTATGCAAAATAAACAAATGTCCAATGTACTAGTTTGAGTTTCCATCTTATCCTCTTTTCCTATGTCAAACAGTGTCATCCTTCCTCAGCCAAAAGCAACAGTTGGTTATTCCTTAGCAAGAAGGTCCTTGTCCCAACTTTTTGCATGGAAAACATGAAAGTTGTATTATCATGACAAAAGTAGGTGCAACTAATTATCAGCTTATACTCTAAATTGGACAAATTTTCCATTCCCTAATAACCCTAGAACATAACTACACTGAAAAGCAAAAGGGATGAACTGAAGGTGAAAGGCAGCAGCACAAGTCTGCTCAGTCATTCTGCAGGTTCTCCACCAGTTTCTGATTTATTGCTGACAACACTTTTGACAGATTCAGCTTAGTATGATGAACAGGGTGACTTATCCCTAGTAACTTTGACACATATGCAATGGGTGTACATACTACATATATAAAAGGAAAATCATAGACATTCATAGGCTTTCTAATCTTTTCCAATTTAATTCACAGTATGTGAAGGGGGAAGAAACAACAACAAATTAACAATTTTACAACTCAGATAAAAAAAACCATCAACATATCATCAGAAGGTTGTTATTAACATAAAAAAGATATTATATCCCTAACTTAAATTCCTTGCTAAGAACATATGTAAACACAGAAATGAAGTTGTGACTCTCTGCATAACAATAAAAGGACACTTAAGGCAATACAACTTAAATATCTAAAGCAAGCAGGATATAAGTTCTATATACCTCAGAAGAAGAATACACTTCAGTATTAAACCCAATATCCTCACCCTTGTCATTGGTTCCAAACCCTCTAGGTTTTCCAAAATAGATCCCTGTGGAGACCCAAATCAAGATCTTACTGTTTATCATATACTCCTTAATTATATGCGAAAAAACAATCACAAAACAAGATTATGTGCATGCTACGGTTCTTTGTCAACATACAACAATAGTACAAAAGAACTAATAAACAAATTTCTGTCTTTATAGAGAGAATATTCACCTCCAGTAAGCTCTCTCACCACCATGATGTCAACTCCCTCAGCGACCTCTTTCTTTAGAGTGGACGAGTTTACAAGCTAAGAAATATGGAGGGAAATGAAGAGTAACGGTGTTAAAAAAAACCTGTAACCATCATTGTGATCCGTAGAAAGAAAAAAGCATTTTGGGTCAAAAGATCACTCGCTCCAGAATCATGGATATTGCAGCAAATCAAAGCCAAAAAAGCAATTGAATCAGAAAAGATGCAAGATTAAAACACATGAAACATGGTTCTTAGTACCCTTAACAACCATCACTCACAAAATAATCCATCTCAACAAGTTTATTAAAAAAGAAACCAAAACAATAGAATTATGTTGGTCTCTCCTAGCTTGGAAATGTCAAGCTCAATATTTAACCAAATTATGACAGGGATGCCATCACAAACAACTATAGATTGGGAAGGCTGGTTGGGCCAGAGAAGGTCAAACACCACCATCTTTGTCTCCATTTCTTATGGCCTATAGGCATAACATAATACAATGAGACTAAAGCAATAAGATCCTAAATTTTATTTGATCTGTATATCACTTCTACAAATGTATGAACTGAAATTGGATGAACAAATTGGCCAAAAAGTCTACTTTCTATTTCATCACAACGAAGAATTGCCAGGAAACCATTGAAGATAAACTTCTAAATCATAATTCTGCTATCGAACAATGTCTCCCTAGCTAGTGAAAAACCATCATACCTAGATTACTTTGATGTGTAAACTTCTTCAGGATCTTGCCTAAGTTAGCACTAAAATAATTAAAAATGCTCAAACAAATTATAAATTTCAGCTATGTATCGTCTCAATCTCTAAGAGAAGCAAACCAAAATTGAGAAAATTCACAAATTTCACATCAAGTCTTGTCACAAAAAATGAACAAAGATTTGAAAAAATGAATTAAAATTCAGCTCATATAGTACTTGTGGCAACACAGTAGCCGGCCGCAGATTAGCAAAGACTCCAAGCCCAGCCCGCAACTGAAGCAACCCTGTCTCAGGCTTCAAATGCTTCTCATTTGCGTCCCATTTATACCTGAAAAGTTACTTCGAATTTAAAATAATAAAAAAGGAAATAGGAAATCTAACTACAGGTATAACCTCAAGAACATATTTCAATGCAACTCAGGGTTAAAACCAATACAATAAAGGAAGAAAATCCAAACTCAACATCTCAGAGTCTCGAACTTGTGTTTCAAAGCATAAAAATCACTTCAGCACATATTTAAAACAATTTAGATTAAAAAGAGAAAGGAACTAAACATAGAAAGTACTTGCCATGGTTTTATCATGAATAGCCAACCTGACGAATCAAGCTAATTAAATGAAGAAAAATAAAAGAAAGAAAATTAAGCTCAGTTCTAGAGAAATTTTTAAGTTCAGCGAAAATTGCAAGATTTCTGGCCAATATTTGGGTTCCAGACCCAGGCCAAATGTTACTACCAAAAAGAGCTCTTAATTTTAAACTGTCAGCCAATTTTGGTGGAAAGAATTCTAGCGTACACAATTAGCTAAATAGAATAAGTGTGACAATTGGACACAACAACCCCTATTCAACCAAATCAAACTTATTCTAGCTTAGCAATTTCATAAAAGTTGATTAAAAATTGCTGAAACTAGTGCCAAACTAGTAACACTGAATGGCATTATCTAAATAAATTCTCAATCAGAAATTAGAAGCTCTAAACAAATAGATTAATCTCGGCCTCTTTTTTTTTTGTTGGTTTGTTTGTTTTTCTTTCTTTCTTTCACTTGCTTTAAAACAGAAAATGAGTCCGTAAGCCAATTAAAATCCCATAATACAACGCAACATGAAGCAGAATCTCAAATATAACAAATACCAACCCTCCAATGGCTCCCAACAAAACAGCATCAGACTCTTTAGAAGCCGTAAGAGTCGCTTCCGGTAATGGCACCCCAGTTGCATCGAGCGCAGATCCTCCAACTGGCATTTCTCTAAACTTGAACTCAATCCCTACAACGACAAAGAATTAAAACGGTCACTAAAGAGTCTACATAGAAGTAAACGGAATGGAAACCTAAGATTTTTCTCATGATCATGAATGCCATATAGTTAAAAGAAAACATAAATAAAGGAATTGCCTTTATCAGCTAAAAGGCCACAACGAGCTACAGCCCTAAAGAAATTAGTGTCTTGAATAGGGTTAAGAGCTAAAACACTAGAAAGCTCAACATTTTCCTCATGACTATGAATGCCATTTTCCTTCTACTGAAATTATATACAAAGGAATTGTCTTTATTAGTTAAAACCCCACAATAAGAAAAGACGCTAAAGAAATTTATTATCCTAGTTAGGGTTTTGAGCTTTATCGTACCCTCATGAGAAGCGGCGAGAGAGAGTACATCTTTAGCAACAGAGACGACTTCTGGGCCAATTCCATCGCCGGGGAGAAGAGTGATGTTGTAACTCCGGCGAGCGGCGGCGGAGCATCGGAAACTTAGACTTCTCCGCGGAGGAGCGGAACGCGAGGGGTTTAGGGCTAGGGTTTTGAGTGGATGGGGTTTCAACTGTAAAGATGACATTTTTATGCCCCCTCTGAAAGCGGAGAGAAGACGGAGGCTGGAGTTTTCGGGGAGCAGAGTTGCGATTGACTCCAGAATCTGATTATGACGAGTTGTCAGTGACGTGGTATTTAGTATTAGACCCTCAAATCTTTCAGTAATTCCACATCAGTCGCTCAAATCTTTGCAGTTGCTCATAAGCCCCTCAATTCCCACAGATTCTGGCAATTGTGTCCGTCAATGGTCAAAATACCCCTCAGTTAATGTTTCTCCCGAAGTCCCCATGTTGAATTGCAAGGTAGCACAGTCTTTTGATTGAGCGCTTGTATAACATGCATCCGTTCCACATAATATGAGATATTTAAAGATATATGAGCTTCATATAAATTGTAAGTACACAATCCAACAACTTAGCTTTTAATAGGGGTTTTTGCATAGTACCCCTCAAATCTTTCACGTTTGCAAGATTACCTCCTAATTCTCTCACAATGATTTTTTCTACCCTTTCCCTTAACAATTTAGTTTTTTAAATGTGAAATTGTCGCAAAGCTATAGGAGATTTTTTGAAGTTTTAGCATTGCCTTGTTTAAAAGCCAATGCTCTTACGTTTGAGTGGTGGAAGGATCCAGTATGCTAGTTTTGAGGGGTAGTTTTGTAAATATAAAAAATTTGAGAGGTAATCTCGCAAATATTAAAGATTTGAGTGGTATATATGCAGAAATACCCTTTTAATATTGAGTGCATGTACATAATCGAACCATCTGCAGACAACGTCACTAGAAGAGAACTGAAATTTGTGAACAACTACAAAAAGAAGAATATGCATAAAATCCTCTTTAACTCTACAAAAATGATAGTCAATCTTATAAAAATAACTGCAAGCATCACCTAAAATAAACTAATAAATTAATCAAACCCATCTCAAATGGCATAAACCTTCTTCTTGCATTCCACTTTCAGCAGAGTCTCAGCCACCAAAGACCTGCACCTAGCAAATGACTCCCCAACTCCAGACACAGCTTTCTTTATACTCCTCTTGATCCTCTTCCTCTGAACTCTATACTTAACAACACAATACATCATAATCCCTAAAGTCCCTACAAGAATCAAAGCCGCAACGACGACAGTCGACCACGAAAGCCACCAGTGTTCCTGTCCAATGACTACATACGAAAGTGACACAAAGGATACAGAAATGGATATACAACACGCCCACATGAGCTTGTTGACGATGAAGACCATGATTTTTAATGCTTTTGGGTCGATGACGACGAGTGATGTTTGGACCATGACTACTGCAAGGGAGACGAAGAGGGCGATGGAGTCAGAGATGAGGAAGATGACGAAGGCAGCGGTGGTGGAGATGTAGGCTTCTCCGGTGGAATAGTTGTCTTCTCCTGGGCCTGCATACTGTCCTGGTACCTGTGAAAATGAAGGTGTAAGTAGAACGTCCAATCTACTCCGATTGGAAGATGATATTCAGAAGTGCAATGGATGGATGCACATATTTGTTTGTGCCCACCAACCCACAGCCATTCACCCACCCACCCCCACATACATACATTACCCACCCGCCCACCCGCCACGACGGCTACATACATGTAAATATGTGTGTTGTGTTTATACACAAATAGACATACATATGTATGTATGTACATGTATGGGATACTTAGTACGAGTTATCACAACAATTAGAAAACTACGCTGTCAAGTTATAAAAGTGATAAGGTCCACTTGCTTTGATGTCATTGCCAAGCTGGGCAACACCACTGGTCTATATATACACAGAGAGAGGGAGAAAATGCGCGTTTTTTGTGTTTGTACACAAATACATGCACACTTCATATGTATTATGGGATATTGGATATGAGTTGTCACCTTATTTGGCAAGTCGCACTGTCAAGATATAGGAGTGGTAATCTCCACCTGTTCGATGTGACTAGCAAGGTGGGAAACACCACTGGTTTATATATATTATATACATATAGGTTTTTTTTTTTTTTTGGGGGGGGGGGGGGGGGGGGGTCTCACC